CCCGACCCCCCGTTCGGAGGGCCAGGCAGGGCACCGGGGAGCAGCGGGGCAACGAGGGTGCAAGCGCTGTCTCCTCCCCCCGCCCCCCACCCGACCCCCCATCTGTCCCTCCCTATTACAAGGTATGTGTATGCATCAGAGGCAGGCACTAGATGTGATACGTTGACTTTTGACGTAGACTTCTTGTTCTTCATCTGTTCGGCAAATTCTGATTTCCTACAGATACATATCAGTGTTGACAAGATTCCCGAAGAGGCGAATTCCATCTTGTTTTTAGTCTCTCAATTCGGCGAGAAAGTACCAGAGAAGAAACCTGAGAAGAAGAAGAGAAAACTCTCCACAGTGCCTGAAGAAGAACAGTTAGGTCAGCCTCTAACTGAGGCAGAGGCCCTCGCAGATGACGCACTGCTCCAGCCACCGCCGGCGGCAACAGAGCCGGCTCCTCCAGGATCAGAGGCAGATCAGGCAGCAACAGCCCCGGCTGATAAGGATGCGGCGAGCGCCTTGGAAACTGGTTCGGGAGAGCCGGGAGAAGCGAAGGAGGGAGAGGTGGAAGGCGACCTGGAAGATGCCGAGGGGAAGAAGGGTGTGTCGTTTTCAGATACGAATCAGGAGTATTCACCCACAGCGACTGGGGAGAAAAGTAGTGATGAGAGCAAAAGAGAAGAAGGTACCGGTGAGGAGTCGGCGGACGAAGCAAGTCCGACTGGCAGTGCAGAGGAAGGTACGGAACCGACTAAGGAAGAAGGTGAAGACCAGGAGGTACAGGACCAAGTACCCCCGCCGGCTACGGCAGACGAGGTTGCAGAACCAGAAGCACAACAGCAGGAAGAGGAGCTTTCTTCTGAAGGGGAGGAGAAAGGAGAGACCGCACCAGAGGGAGAGGGAGAGGAGACCGGAGTGGCGACTACCTCACAGGATCCCCCTGAATCTGGAGAAGAAGGACCTGACACTACTGAAGCCCCAGCTGAGGATGACGCTGGGGGTCCCAGGGGCTCAAGCGGTGAAGAGCCGGGGAACGAGGGTGGGCAAGACAGTGCCCCCTCAGGTGGCGAAGAGCCGGCCAGTGAAGATGAGGCAAAGGGGGCCTCAGACAAAGAAGATGGCGATGGAGATGGACCACAGACGGACGAAGAGAAGGAACCCACCACTCAAAATGCAAAGTCCATGGATGACCAAGCAGATCAGGATCAGGATCAGGATCACGCCAAATCAAGTGGCGAGGAAGGTGACGACGATACGGGTGGCGAAGGGAGCGCCGAAGGGGAGAGTGGAGATGAGGAGGGGTCAAAACCCCCCGATGGCGAACAGTCACCCCCTCCAGAGCCGGAGCCAGAAGACCCGTATCCACCACCAACTGAGGAGCAGCTAGCAGCTGCTGCAGCTGCAGATGCATCCGGAGCCTCACTGGAAACCGAAGGCTTGGGGGAGACCATGATAGTCATCCCTGTGACCACATTTGGTACACGGGCGGAGAGCTTGACGTTTCGTGTCCTCTCCGAGGAGATGGAAGAGCTGATAGCGTTATCGATTGGCGAGGACTTCGCCGATCCAACGGTGGGGTCCGTGGCCATCTGTGTGATAAGACGCATGGTTAACGGGTGGTGTATACGAGGCCTGCACCTGCCGGCGGGGTCGGCAAGAACATGGGGTGAAGCGCTCGTTGCACTGCCTCGAGCCCAGGCGGAGATCTTGATCCCCAGCTACAAAAGGCGTCTTTTGCCCCAGTGGGACATCCTGAAACCCATCCCGAAGTTCGAGCACTACAACTTTGAGGAGATGTCGAAGATCGTCGAAGCCTGGAAACCGGTGAAGAAGGAGGAAGAAGGAGGTGCAGAGGAAAAGGAGGAGGGAGAAGGTGAAGAAGAGGAGGAAGACGAGGTCCCCGTCAAGCCTCCAAAAGGTCGACGAAGAAGCGTTGAAAGTGTGGATACGGCAGCTGACGGGGACTCGGAGGAACCGGAGCTCCCACCTCTCGACTGGAAAGTTTTCGAAATCCGTGTCGACTTAGGCTGGGTCATGCAAGACGATGCCAACGACGACATGGAATGGGGGTGCTTTCTATTTGATAGTCATGGTGAGCTTGTAGACGAAGTCAGCAGGAAGGTCAAGGAGATTGATGGAGTCAGGTGAGACGTCGGGAGGGATCCTTTTGTTCTTTTTTTTTTTTTGGGGGGGGGGGG